CCATGCAGAGACCCAGGTTGGATTCTCAGTGAACGCACCTCATGCACAGCCATCACCCATCTGTCGGCGGAGGTTTGCGCGTTGCCATAATGCTGAACAGGTTTCAGTGCAGCTTCCAGACTCAGACGAACCAGGAAGAAAGGTTTGGCAATCTACTTCTGAAAATCAGCCAGTGAAAACCCTGTGGATCACAACAGTGGGATCCACAACAGATCAGGAGCATGGCACGGGACCCGGCAGCATCGTTCTGTTATGCGTGGGTTCGCCATGAGTCGGGGGCTGGCTGGCTGCAGCCAGCAACCACCACCACATCCTGGAGCTGTGAGACCCTCAGAACGCCAGCCAGGGCACGCTGTCGTCCTTCAGGGCGTCCTGCGCCTTCTTGTGAAGTTTACTTCTGATCCTGCTCTCTTGGCAGCTTGGACAGCCCCAGCTCTGCCTCGAGCTACCCAGTGCTCTCCTGGGCTCCGTCCGGGTGTCGGAGCTGCAGGACAGATGTACAGTCAAGCGTGAGCAGCCATGTCTGGAATACACTCCTCTCCCTGCCTGCAGTCAGCTCGCCCCATCTCTGTCCGCCCTCCTCCACGGACGGCTGCCCGCTCTCGCATTATCCACGATCTGCCTGTGTGGCGAGGTCTAGAGACCCACAGCTGGGCAACGCAGAGGGTTCCGTCTCGGTCTCCTGGAACTGCTGTGACACACATACCACAAGGGGGGGCTCTGAAGAACAGAGATTTCCTTCTCACAGTTTTGGAGGCTAGACGTCCGAATTCAGGGCAGGGTTCTAAAGGGCGTTCCTTCCTTGTCCTGTGAGCTTCCAGCAGCGACAAGGCTTGGCATGGCTTCTGGATGCGCCTGTCTCTGGGGTCTGCCTTCCTCTCTCTCCGTGAGTCTGTGCCTGATCTGCCCTTTTTATAACTCAGAAGTGATTAGGGTTAGCACCCACGCTACATGGGTATGACCTCATTAACATAACACAAGAAAAACCCCTATTTCCAAACACGGTCATACTTACAGGTACCAAAAAAGCCCAAAATACATAGCGACCCTATAGGACAGAGTAGAACTGCCCCATAGAGTTTCCAAGGAGCGGCTGGTAGATTTAAACTGCTGACCTTTTGGTTAGCGGCTGAGCTCTTAACCACTGCGCCACCAGGGCTGCATTTACAGGTACAGGGGTTAGGACTCAACACGTTTTTTGTGGGGAGGACAAAATTCAACCCATAACAGGCTCTTGTAGGAAAGTCCCTCTTATACCTGACATGTGCTCCTTCACCTTGCGTCGCCCCTCTGGTGACAGCTTCAGGGCCACAGCAACACTGCTCTGGGGTCTTTGCACAGGAAGGCCCCTGGCCACCCAGGCCCGACCACTCCTGGGCATGAGCCTCGGCCAACTGCTCGGCCCTCTGCTCCAGTCCTGGCGTTAAGCCCCTCTGGCGTGGGTAGTGCTCCCTGGGACTGCATTGTGTCCACAGGTGGCCTCATTTCCAGCTGTCACCAGGCATCTGGATTGAGCTCTGGTGCAAAATTAAAGGTGTCATGCATGGACCAGGCACGCCTGAGACGTAGAGGATGTGGCAACCACCTGAAGGGAGGCCCGCTGTTGTCCCTGAGGGAGGAGGATGGGGTCTCGGGCCCTGCGGGTGCTCGGGGGAGAGGGGGCCACTAGATGTGAATGGTCATGTCACAGACGAGCAAGAGGAGGCCTGGAGGATGGGGCCTCGGGCCCTGCGGGTGCTCAGGGGAGAGGGAGCGGCTAGGTGTGAATGGTCACGTCACAGATGAGCAAGAGGAGGTCTGGAGGACAGAGGACGAGGTCCTGCAGGTGCTCAGGGGAGAGGGAGCGGCTAGGTGTGAATGGTCACGTCACAGATGAGCAAGAGGAGGTCTGGAGGACGGAGGACGAGGTCCTGCAGGTGCTCAGGGGGAGAGGGGGCCTCTAGGTGTGAATGGTCACATCACAGACGAGCAAGAGGAGGCCTGGAGGACAGAGGACAAGGTCCTGCAGGTGCTCAGGGGGAGAGGGGGGCTGCTAGGTGTGAATGGTCATGTCACAGATGAGCAAGAGGAGGCCTGGAGGACAGAGGATGAGGTCCTGCGGGTGGTCAGGGGGAGAGAGGGGCTGCTAGGTGTGACTGGTCATGTCACAGATGAGCAAGACGAGGCCTGGAGGACAGAGGATGAGGTCCTGTGGGTGCTCGGGGGAGAGGGAGGCTGCTAGGTGTGAATGGTCATGTCACAGATGAGCAAGACGAGGTCTGGAGGACAGAGGACGAGGTCCTGCGGGTGCTCGGGGAGAGGGAGGCCGCTAGGTGTGAATGGTCATGTCACAGATGAGCAAGACGAGGCCTGGAGGACAGAGGACGAGGTCCTGCGGGTGCTCGGGGAGAGGGAGGCCGCTAGGTGTGAATGGTCATGTCACAGATGAGCAAGACGAGGCCTGGAGGACAGAGGACGAGGTCCTGTAGGTGCTCGGGGGAGACGGGGGCCGCTAGGTGTGAATGGTCACATCACAGATGAGCAAGAGGAGGCCTGGAGGACGGAGGACGAGGTCCTGCGCGTGCTCAGGGGGGGAGGGAGGCCGCTAGGTGTGAATGGTCATGTCACAGACGAGCAAGATGAGGCCTGATGGTGGAGTTCCCTCGGTGGACTGGAGGCACCATGACAGCTCCATGCAGGACTGTGTGGCCAAGGACCAGGTGGTGCCCACCAGGACTCCGCAGGCCTTGTGGCTTGGCTGTGAGTTCTGGGACTCCAGTCCTAACTGCCTACAGGGAAATGCTGAACAGCCTGTTCATGAGCTGACCACTGAGGTGGACCGAGGGTTGAGGGGATGGTGCGGGTGGCATCACTCCTTGGCCCACATTCCCAGGGAGGCTGGCATATAAGACCTGTCCTCCTCTCCTTCCTCAGGCAGCCTGAGAGGGAAGGGCATGTTGTCAGGTGAAGGGGGTGACCAGGAAGCCAGGCTCCTGCAGTCAACGATGGGGGAGGACAGCTGGAATCCTAGGCACCCAGCTCCTAGCCAGGCAGGAAGGGTGGAAGGACCGGCTGAGGTCTCTCTGGCACTGTTTTCCAGGTGTCCTTCAGGTCGGTTTCTAGGCAGGCTGGACGGAGGCAGGGCTTGTGACCCATGGTGGTTTATGCTGGCATCGCCCCCACCCAAGTCTCTGTGAGGACCTGGACCGTCTACAGCAGAACCTTGAGGACCCATGCAGCACAAACATCAGGTCCTCATATACTCCACTGTTGTCATTGTTAGGTGCTGATGAGTCGGTTCCCACTCATAGTGACCCTGTGTACAACAGAACAAAACACTGCCTGGTCCTGCACCATCCTCACAATTGTTGCTATGTTTGAGCCCATTGTTGCAGCCATTGTGTCAATCCATTTCGCTGAGGGTCTTCCTCTTTTTTGCTGACCCTCTACTTTACCAAGCCTGATGTCCTTTTCCAGGAGCTGGTCCCTCCTGATAACATGTCCAAAGTATGTGAGATGAAGTCTTACCATCCTTGCTTCTAGGGAGCATTCTGGTTGTACTTAAGGTTTTCACTGGCTAATTTTTTTCAGAAGTAGACCACCAGGTCTCTCTTCCTAGTCTGTCTTAGTCTGGAAACTCAGCTGAAACCTGTCTGCCATGGGTGACTCTGCTGGTATTTGAATACCGGTGGCATAGCTTCCAGCATCACAGCAACACACACGCTCTCACAGTATGACAGACTGACAGACGGGCGAGGGACCATCTCCAGCAGAACCTTGAGGACGGATGCAGCACAGACACCAGGTCCTCATCTTTTCCGTAGACTGGCTTCTCCCTGCTTCTTCACGCAAAACATCTGCCCTTGCCTGGATGCCAAATGCTTTCCCTCCTTCTCATCTTCCATCCCCATCTCTCCCTGCCTCCCTCCCTCCAGGTGACCTGGTGGGCTCCTGGACTGTCCTCTAGAACTCGGTCTAGCGGCCCTGTGCAGCCAGCTCCCTATCCTTGGACAGGTGCTCTGTGGCTGGTGCTCTCATGTGCTGTGATGATGTTGTGATGGCTCCTGGATGTCTGTCCCCTCTTCTCCACTTTCAACTCCTAGAAGGCAGGGAGCTGGCTTCGTCTGAGCCTCCAGCTATGGGCCAGGCACATACTGATGTTCAATAAATCTGGTTTTGTTAAATAAATACCATCTGTTTCTAAAAAACTACATCATTGTTATTTAATATATATGGGGTATCTTGTCAACCTGACTTTATGCTTCTGGTAGGCAAGGATATATGTGCCTTAATAGGATCACACACACACACACACACACACACACAGATGTACACCGTAATATAATGTCATAACACTCTGCATTTCCAACAACTAGCAAAGTTTTGGGCACATCACATCATAACCCCTTACTGCTGCTGCTGCTGACGTGAAAATACCATGCGTCTCAGAGTGCAGTGATGACATCCGTGTCTGTTTGAGGGGCGTATACTGTAAAGATCACAGCCTGGAAAGCCCTGTGGAGTATAGTTCTACTCTGCCACGTGGGGTTGAATCGACTTGATGGCGCCCAACAAGGACATTAACTGAGGACAATCCTAACACTGACACAGTAAGAGCGGCTGCTGGGTAAACATCCACACAACGCCCAGCAATGACCCGAGTGAGGGTGACGTGGGCTCACTCCATCCTCACGGCCACCTCAGCAGACACATCTCGGCTCTTGTTTTTGGGACGGGGAAAGGAGTCTGAGGGAATTGCATGGAAACTTCCCCCCAACCCCACAGCTGGTATGTGTGAAGCCAATGTTGCCATCAGCTGTTAGCCTCCCGACAGGCCACCGCACTCGCTGCCCCCTCCCAGTTGGCGGCTCCATCCTCCATGAGCAGGAGCCGCGATGGGTGTGAGGGGGACTCCTGGGGCCCTTCCCAAGGACACGGCTGCAGAGTTTCAGGTGCGATTCCCAGCCTCTGTCAGGACAGACAGCAGAGGGAGGGACGCCAGCCTTGCGCGCAGTGCTCACCATGTTGAACACAGCCATGGTCAGGACGATGGCCGTGGTGATGACAGTGAGGAAGATCCGTGGCCAGGGCCGGTTGGCGATGATGCCCGATGACTTCAGGAGCCACATGAGCAAGGTGGACGCCTTCTTACTGCATTGCTGGTGGAGAGAGGCGGAAAAGGCAGACGTTACTATCTACACCCTCACATCTCTACACGACGGTGCTCACATCCACAAAACAATGAAAACACCCAAACCCATTACTGCCGAGTTAATTCTGACACGTGACGACCCCATATGTTACACAGCAGAACTGCTCCGTAGGGTTTTCTCGGCTATAATCTTCACAGAAGCAGTTCACCAGGCCTTTCTTCTGTGGCACTGCTAGGTGGTTTCGAACCAGCAACCTTTTGGTTAATAGTCAAGTGCAAACTGTTTCCACCACCCAGAGACCTCAAAACCACAAAAGGATCAATAACCTTCACAGACAGAACAAACAGTCCTGTCTTCCCGAGTGGTCCCATATCAGGGTCACAGACACTATTAATATCATTGCTTTATGATCACTGGCATCATTATTGCTAATTAAGAACAAATTAACTAAATTTCTATGACAAATGTATGATATCCTCGTTGTTGTTAATTGCCACCAAGTTGGTTCCGACTCACGGTGACCCCACGTACAACAGAAGCAACCGCTGCCTGGTCCCGCGCCATCTTCATGATTGCTCGTCTGCTCAAGTCCACTGTTGTGGCCCCTGTGTATTCTGAGCGCCTCCCAACAGAGGGGCTCATCTTCCTGTTGAGTCAATGCCAACATACGGCGACTCCATGGGCTACACAGCAGAACTGCTTCACGGGGTTACTCTGGCTGTAAGCTTTACGGAAGCATATCACCAGGCCTTTCTTCCATGGAGCCATGGGGTGGGTTTCCACCACCAACTTTTAGGTTAGTAGTTGACTGCAAACCATTTGCACCACCCAGGGACCTATCTATATTGGACAATATTCTGTTGTGATCCATAGAGTTTTCGTGGGCTAGTTTTTGGAAGTAAAAACCAGGCCTTTCGTCCTAGTCCGTCTTAGTCTAGAAACTCTGCTGAAACGTGTTGAGCATCACAGCTTGAGCATTCTGTTCACGTGACATCCTGGTCCAAATGACACATCAATGGCTGCCAGAACTACCGTCCACGCACACCCCTGAACGTGTGGAGGGACTCCCAGGAGATGGGGCACGTTCCTGCCCACTCCCACACAGAACACTCAGAGCCACCCACTGGGATGTGTGGGCTTGGTGTGTGCTGAGTTCAGGGCAGCTAACTCAGGATGCAACTGGTCGGATTCTACCGTCTGCACAGTGGTGAGAACAGCTAAGCACTCGACTACTAACCGAAAGGTTGGTGGCTCGAATCTACCCAGAGTCACCTCAGAGACAGGCTTGGTGATTTACTTCTGAAATGTCACAGCCTTGAAAACCCCATGGAGCAGTTCCACTCTGCACACTTGGGGTCACCATGAGTTGTAACTGACTTGACAGCAATGAACAAAAATAACATGCCTCACAGTACCCCACGCAGCCGTTTTTAAACTATGGTGACAAATATTCACACCAGCATTGCCCTGGAAGGTCGGGGAGGCAGGAACGTTCTTCCTCTCTTCATTACCGAGTAGAGGCCGGAAAGAAACCTATTTTTACTTTGGTAAACACTGCTGGTGGTGAGGACAAGGAGATACAGGAAGGTGAGGGTGGAGACGTGTACCCAGAAGTACAATAACAATGAGAAGCGTTGAACTCGGAAGTACAATAACAATGGAAGGGGAAGGAGGAAGACAAAGATTTTGGGGGAAAGATAAACCAACGATGGACAAGAGAGAAGGGAAAAAGACTATGTTCTTAACACAGAATGAACCTGAGTAAGGAAAACTGGGAGCGCTGATTCAATCTGCAGCTCTTTATAGAAATTATGACTTGGGCTTTGATAAGATAATTTAGTTCAATGTATTCCGTTTTAGGTTAAAGCATTCCAAAAAAGTTCCTGGTGGAGAAGTAAGATCACTAAAATCTAGATCCCCTTTAGTTAAACATGGTAAATGATCACATTTCAAAAAACACGTTGGCATTTATGCAGAAGACACTCTTGAACTGAACACCAGAGAATGCCTGCTAAGTCCAGCAGTTTCGCCATTTTACTTGATCTCTGGTTTAACTACTGGCCGAGTTGCATCCCAATCTGTTTCCTCCCTTTCTTGATCAGGGGACTCAGGCACCCTGTGACTGGCTCTTACGGAGAGCCTCAGGAGCCCTGGTGGCACAGCGGTTAAGTGCTCGGCTGTGAACCGAAAGGTTGGTGGTTCGAACCCACCAGCTGCTACGGGGGAGAAAGATGTGGCAAAGATTTCAGCCTTCGAAACCCTATGGGGCAGGTCTACTCTGTCCTATATGGTTGCTAGGAGTCCGAATTGACTCAACAGCAAAGGGTTTGGTTTACAGAGAATTCACTGTGTACCTTCTAGAAATGGTCTCAGCGGTTAATGCCATAGTCATCCACTAACAGATACGAGCTGGGCACTAAATGGGTGGAGATGTAAAAAGGAAAAAGGATATGAACATACAGGAAAGCTGAACCACAGAGGTGGTGCCGGCACAGAAGCAGTATACGCGGTAAGGTGGGAAGCACGTGGGGTGAATATTAGTGTTTGTAATCCACTGCAGATAGTGGGTTCTCCTCATACGAATAAAATGCTCAGACATTTTATTTGGAGACAAAAATAAAAAGGAAAAACCTTTACGCCAAACATTAGATTTTCTCTCTTCCTCTCCTCTCCCTTCTTCCTCTCTTTCTGTCCATCCCTCCTTCCCTTCCCTTCTCTTTCTTTATTCCTCTCTCTCTTCCTTCTTCTCTCTCTTTCTTACTATTTGCTCTGGAAACAACTCGAAGTTTCTTACTCAGAAATTCCTAATACAGCAAAACCTGCAAAAGCCAGAATCTATGTAAGGTGGGAACCCGTCAGAGAAGGAAAACGCAAACGTTTTCCACTAACAGAGAGTGGTAGAAAGGTGGCAAGCCTGCACCTGTGAGACGTGGAAAACTTGCAAGACTTGGAAAAACATGGCAGCCCCGTCGAGGTCTGGCCCTCACAGGTTTCACCGTGACTTAAGTGAATCATCAGAAAAGTTGACGGCATTCACCATTTCATTAGTGCCCATTGTAAACAGTAAGCTGAGGTAGCTGAAGAGAAGTCGAAGCTTACATTCAGTGAAGGTTAGTAAAAGAAAAAAATTTGGAAAACCTATAAATATCTCAGAGTGACTCTGTAGCATACTTTCATGATTAGGAAAACAAAACCCATGTTAAAATCTTGCCTGAGCAATATGGTGGTGAAGCCATTCCCATGAACAGATGTTCTGGTCCACGTCCCTAAAGGAACGTCTACCTGAGAATTGTCATGATCCAAGGATGCTCTTCCTGACTCACTGGCAGCAGCGAGCTCCAGCAATAATTACTGTAACATTTAGTCTCACACAGACTGGCATGTGTACCTGGATCATCTGTCTGTGCTTTAATTTCCTCCAGGAAGACATCTTTATTGCAATCCATCATATTTTACAAAATCAGCCTGCATCCCTCAGCAGTCCTCCACGGCCAGGAACCTCACAGCACTGTCTACATCGTATTATCTTGGCTGACCTGTTTGTCTCAGGCCACGTGAAGAGCTAAGTGGGGACTCTGACCACATCACACTCATCCTTGGATTTCCAGAGGCTAGCACAGTGCTTGGCAAACAGTAGGGACTCAACAATGCCAACTGAACAAGTTCATTAGCTTAATGGGCAATCTAAAGAGAAATTTCCAGGGGCCAGAGCCCTGGTGGTGCAGTGGTTAAGAGCTTGGCTGCTAACCAAAAGGTTGGCAGTTCGAATCCACTAGCTGCTCTTTGGAAACCCTATGGGGCAGTTCCTCTGTGTCCTATAGAGTCACTATGAGATGGAATCAACTCTACAGCAATGGGTTTTTTTTTTTTTTTTTGGAGACAAAAAAGGAGCTTCGTGCTGGAGGGACTGGGGCTGAGGGGCTGGCCCAGGGGTGTCCCAGCAATGGACACAGGATACAGCATCTAGAAAGTGGGCTTCCAGTGCCCACAGAGAAAAGGAGGAGCTGCCGTCGGTCTGCAAAGGGGGTGGCATCTGGGACTGAAATCCCTGAATAGAACCAGGAATCTTGAAGGGCTGGCTCTTCCATGTGAGTATTTAGAGAAACTCCCACCAGCCATCTGTCAGTGTGTTCGACTGTGGTGGTTTGCATGTGACTGTAATGCTGAAGCTGTGCCACTGGTATTTCAAATATAAGCAGGTTCACTCATGGTGGACAGGTTTCAGTGGAGCTTCCAGACTAAGACAGGCTAGAAAGAAAGACCTGGCAATCTACTTCTAAAAATTAGCCACTAAAAACCTCATGGACAGCAACAGAACGTTGTCTGACTCGCTTGGTTTGGACATGTCATCAGGAGGGATCAATCACTGGAGGAGGACATCATGTTTGGTGAAGTAGAGGGTCAGCAAGGGTGAGGGAGATCTTCGGTCAGATGGATGGGCACAGTGGCTGCAGTGATAGACTCAAACATTGTGAAGATGACTCAGGGCTGGGTAACGTTCTGTTTTGTTGTGCACGAGGCTGCCACGAGTTGGAGTTGACTTGATTGCAGGTATCTATATATCTATCTAGATGAACTCCATGGATTAACTTTTTCAGGGAAGTATCAATCATCTTAAAATGATAAATCAAAACTCTAAATATGGGTTGCTATTCTTGTGGAGTGCCTTCAAGTCAATTTTGACTAATAGCAGCCCCATGGGACAGAGAGAACTTCCCTATAGAATTTTCTTGGCTGTAATATTTAAGGAAGCAGATCACCAGGTCTTTTTTTCCACAGAGCCGCTGGGTGGGTTGGAACCACTAACCTTTTGGTTAGCAGCCAAGTGCTTAGCCACTGTATCATTAGGGTGTTGGGTTAAAAATTCCATTATCTCCTTGATAATGAGAGTACTATAATGAGCCAAAAACCAGAGAAAGTCCTTGAGACTCTGGCAGAAGCAGGAAGGGCACTGTTTTTTGTAGATGGCACTTTATAACCTAGGGTACAAGGGACGTCCCGGTTGG